TTCTGGACTTACGTAAAGTCCTTTGGACAAAATGTGTCATTTCAAAATGTGTTTTGATGTGTATGACCAACTGTCCAGTGAAGCAGGGCAGCACTTGTAAGAATTAGTTTTTTCTCTCTTCCGTCCTTCCTCATCTTTAAAATTAGAACCTGAGGAAGCTTGAGAAAGTCTCAGAACTATTGTTCTAAAATTCCTTTACTGCACCAGTGTCCACAAAAGATCACAGCAGAAAAGAAAAGTTGTTGTCAGCTTCACAGCCTGTTATAAAACAGTCTGTGTTTTAGACGTCATACGTGTGGTCAATGTCTACTAATATTACCGCCAAGATAATTCCTATTTTGTTAAGATTTAAGAATTGAGATAAAAACTTTAATCCAAAACTTTTCTCATAAAATATAGAGTTTAACCCTTGTGTTGTCCTTTGGGTCCCAGTGGCTGATAGAATGCCTTTGACATTTCTCAATACATACATACAAGGTAATGCAAAAAAAAAACATGTACAGGATACGGATACGGATAAATGAGATTTGGGTTGGGAAATCTAAGATACCCGCATGTCATGTTGTTGAGCATTTAATTAACATAGGGTAACAACCTAAGTTGGACGCAGGAGGGCACTGTTGTTGTTGTTTGCGCCTCCAGAGTCAGGCGGTTGTCGCTATTGTTCTTGATGGGACACCGTATTTCTGGCGCTGTTGCTGTGATGTGTTTTATGTGTGTGTTTGCCTTTATCGTGGTAAGGAGGAATAAAAAGAGGTCATGTCATGACTCTGTGCGTAAAAAAAAGATCATCGGTCTTAGCGAGTAAAATTTACTCTACTTAAGCATTCAAACAGTACTCCAAAATCCACCAGCATGGGGTAGTCACCATCTTTGTAAAGGTGTGGTACCTTGGCGTGTCTAACGTCAGCAGCGATGTCTGCGTTTCACAGTAGCCGCTGCAGGATAAACACCCGAAGATATGTGATCACAATGTTCTTGACGATCATCATCGTCATACATTACCGCACGGCTAAATCATCATCAGCATCTTTATCCTCGAATATCAACTCTCGGCGTTGTATCTGTTTTCTAATTCCTAATTTAAAATTACATTTAGCTTTTCACGTGAATGTACATTTAAATTTATAATTAGAATTGCTTATACATTGGTTTTCATGGTCATGTTTTTAATGTATTAAATATGTACAGTATGCCTTATATTTCCATAATACAACTCTACTGTGCATATAATTGTGTGGGGAAGGGGACTACAGTCTAGGGAGGGTTGATAACAGTGTGGGGGAGTTTCATAAAGCACAAATATATACGTTAATAATATAATAACTGTCGTGCCTCTACTTCGCAAATTTTCCCAGTTCGCGGTGGCTCTCGGAACGCAACTACCGCGATAGGGTAGGATTACTGTATATCCATTTTTGCTCCTCTGATGATACTTTCTTCTCACCGTCCTGCCCAAACTAACTTATAGTTAGCTAATTTATACAGCTTATGTGGCACAAACAGTTTACCAGGCTGTCTCCAACAGAATAAGACAATGTCATTTTACATTAGATCTGTCAACAACATAGAGGTACAGGTCAGCAGTAATTAAGTCATTTTACAGTAAATTATAGATTATAATTATAAAGCCAGTCAGTACAGAGAAGAAGAGGTAGAGTGTGCACTTTATTTTGCTTGTCCTCATATAATATCAAGAACCTGGGTAGTGATTTTATGGACTGATTTGAACTGTTTGCTGCCACAGATGTAATGATGCATACAAACTTAAACAACTGTGAATGGTATGTAGTACTTTTCGTAATTTATGCGCCAAGCCGTTAGACAATAAAACCTTTGTAAAGGTTTCAAATTATGTACAAACTGGTTTATTATGTCCTTTTTACATGGTTTTAATTTCGATAAAATGATCATACTCCAAGGTTTGTGGCTGTCTTATCACGGACTAAACCGATGCCTTCTTGTTTCCCTGGAGTGCTATCTGTCTATAAAAAGGGTTTCAGTTTCATGTTTCAAGATTTCAAGATATCGGTCACAGCCAACCAACAATGCACAAAGGTAAATTGCTTAAAGCATTTACAGCGAATTAAACTATGCTGTGTCTAGTTTGTGTTATTTGGGAAAAACTTGGTCTTTAAATTTGATACCGGAAAGTGCCAATTTTTTGAAACCTCTGTTACGGTTACTAAATCTATGTGATAATGCAGAAGCAGTAGGCAGAAAAGAAGAGGGCATTAGGAGGAGGAGTAAATGTAATGAGGGTAGGAAAGCAAAGGGTGGGGGGATGGCGGTTGGGGCTGATGCGGCGATAGTGTTATCACGCCAGTCTGATTGCTCTGTGATGGGAGCAGCGATTGTAGGGGAAGGGAAGAGCTCTGCCCATCGCTTGCCTAGTGCTGACATTACCTCACTAGCCATAACACACGACGGCTGTGGCGCCACACATGCCGGCATGCACTCACAAACATGCTGCATATGCACACACTGTACGCAGGCGGCTGTAGGAAACAGTTATACAAATGAGCTTTAAGTGCTACTTGACAGATTAACAGGTGTGGTTTCTAAGTCATAGTTTTGTGCATCTTATTTATAAATTAAGCTCTGTTCTCTTTTTTCAATAGAACTTAAATAATACAGAATATATACAGTATATAATAAGTACAATGTACTTGACAACTCCATCTAAGAATTGTTGTTATTCAGTCATTAGAAAATATGAATACATTTATTTCAATAGATAACAGTATCGTCTGCAAACATCATGATCCACAGGTTCTCAACCCTGACTTCACTTGTGAAGTTCTTGCCTCGTTCTTGCACAAATCTTGCACCATCCTCACATAGCAATGTGCCACTGCTGATGTACTCATGCTGCACCACCATTCTTCTTATGCTTGACCTGTAACTTGCTTTGTGAAGGACCACAAACCGGTGCAACTTTTTCTGACCTTCTCTGTAAAACTGCATTTGTTGTTCTCTTTCCGGGCATAAATCCAAACTACTTTTCAACTAATCTGTGCCCCTTGCTTTTATCTTGCTTCAGTAACTTTTTCTCAGAACTCTTTTTCACTTTCAGCCATCCTCTTTATCATCCACTTAATCACGTCACCTCTGTTTCTTCTATAACTCCCTTTTCATTCTCATTTGTTTGCTCCTTATAGAACTTTCATTGACTTATTAGTCATTAGTATTATATCATTTACAACTTCTTTGCTTCCTTTAAGTGATATTCATTTGCTTCTTCCACCGGTTCATTTTTTCCTCTTCTTCACTCTATCCTAAAAGAGAAGAAAACTGAGGTTACATTGTTCTTTCTTTACCCTACGTTAATATCCTACCTGTACTGTACTTTTACACCAGACTAAACCTCGCCAATGCAGCTCTAGAACTCTGACTTTAAATATCAGACAGGACCCATTCCTTCCTGTATTAGAAAGTGTAATTCGTCTGTAGTAATCTCGTTGTTATCTTGCAAGTGACAGTGACAATAAAGGTGCTTCTTATCTTATCTTAAGATCCATTAAGGTCCATTAAAGGACCTTTTTTATTTTATTTTTTTCAAAATAAAACATCTTCTAGACTTTATTCTGTTAGTATCAGTGTCTGAAGGACCTTATTACATGTGTTTTCTGCAAATGAATAACTTCTGAAAGAAGTAGTATCCTGTAAAGTCTCATTGACTCTCGTTTCAAGTCAAGGTCTCTGCTTTAACCTCAATTCAGCTTAGTATGAGAAAGCAAAAGGAAAAAGAAAGGAGAAAAATTGTTCGTCAGAGCAGCAGCTGTTTAAAAAAAGAGGCTGGTTATGCAACTGAAAAACGAGAGAGAGAGAGAGAGAGAAACACACACACACATTGGTCATAATGAACAGTAATCGCTGCTAACTATTTAGGCCAAAAGTGGCTCTGGCATTTGGATTTGACCCCTTGAGTCTTCCTTACTCCTTGAGGCCCATGAGAAAGCTTCATACTCCGCTGGGGGTTAACAAAATCTGGGCCTGGATCCAAATTTAAGGCCTCAACCTCAACAAGAGCCCTGAGAACTGGCCTCTCTTATCTCAGAGAAGCACACTAGAGGAACTGCTGTCCAACCCTCCATCCCCCGTCGACCACTGGCCTTTGTTCTGCAGAAACTGTCCACACGAATATATCAACTACAGATAGTCAGGTCAACCAGGCACTGTGTGTGCTTTAATTGTTATATCAGTAGTTGAAATATCACAAACACTCTTTGTGTGTCGATGAGTAAATAGTACGCCTTTGACCTAAATTGCTTCACGTCAGAGCTGTTATGAAGGTTCGTGTAGTTTTGTTTTAATTCGTCGGCACAGCGGGTCAGTAGCTGCCCGAGACACAGGAAGAGGCTTCAGTGGTTTGTTTTGGCCTCAGGCCAACGCTTGTGTGACAAAAACAAGTTTGAACACACAAACACCCTTGCAGACACACACACACTCACACACACATAAAAACACATTTTGATTTATATTCATTTATAATGAAATGAAATGGAGAAACAGATCCGAATGTTAATCCCTGCTGCCTTGTTTTGGTGTCTCCCTCCAGGCTGCAGAAACAGAAGCAGTGAGGGCAATGCAGATGAACAGATGGACAGTCAGTACCTGAAGTCACTGGAGGGCTTTATCACCGTGGTTACATCAGAGGGCGATATTATTTTCCTGTCGGAGAACATCAACAAGTTCCTGGGGCTCACACAGGTACAAAGGCGTTGTACTAAATTACGACCTGAGATGTTTTTCAAATCAATGTGTTGAATAAATGCCTTTAAGTTAAAGTCCGGGAACGCAAAGCGAGTCATGTTAAAAAAGTAATTAAGAAGAGAAAATATTTAAAAAATACTAAAAGTGCTAGAACAACCTATACTTAAGTTATCGGCCACTGGAGGACAACTCCAATCTGCAAGTGATGTAGCTTCATTTTTATTAACCCTTTGATGCATGACCCATGATATACTAAGTTAAGAAAATGTTACAAAGTGTTTTTATGTGTTTTTAGACATAAAAATAAGAACTGATTTGGTTCTGTTTTTATACACCAAATTTTCTTTTTGAATGTTGACACAATTATTCTGCAGTTGCAAAGGCTGACCACTGTATGGCAGTGTTGGGTGATTCTCAGGCGTCCACTTTAGAGGCTTATGTGCAACACTGCCATCAAAACCTATTCTTATCATAGAAAATGACATTTTCATAGCTGTCCACTGTAGTGACCGTCATGCATGAAAGGGTTAATTTATTAACCTCGCCCACATTGTGATCAACCCTTCTTAGACTGTATTACCATTATATGCACAGTAGATCTCCATGAAAAACAATACATTGTAATTATAAATTAAAATTACATACATGCACATTGTGGGGGCATAGTGGAGGTTCGTGCTCAGCTGACTCAGGTAGAGTACCAAGATAAATGTTGTTGGCATCAAAACAAACAGATGGTCATTATATATATTTGAAATTAAATATTTGTTGGATTAAATATTTGTTCACTTTCAGCATCATCATTGTTACTTTACCTTTCAGGTGGAGCTTACTGGACACAGCATATTTGACTTCACTCATCCATGTGACCACGAGGAGATCAGAGAAAACCTCAGTTTAAAGACATCTGGTCAGCATCCAGTATCATCCTCACACATCCTGTTAACCACCTGCATATAATTGTGTTATTTCGTCTACGTTTCTTACTTCACATTTAGATTTGGTGGCATCTAGAGCAAGTTTTGTCAGTGGTAAGAGTAGCAGATACTGGTACACAAGCCTAGAGTGCCCATTTGTGGCTGTTAGTGTTAAAATAAACATGTGAAATTATTTATTTGTATATATATATATATGTATGTCACACCTGAGTATAAGTCGCATATGGTCTAATAAATTAATTCTGAATTATTTTTAATCTCTTCTATGTGCGAAATACGTCTAAGTCTGTTTAGTCTAAATGATCCACCTCCATTCACCGAGGCGGAAAGCTTTCTGCCAAAAAGCTGCATCATGTGTCTAGTGTATATTCACCGAGGCGGAAAGCTTTCAAAAAGCTGCATCATGTGTCTAGTGTAAATAAAAAACTGTATCCAGAGTATCCAGCAAGACCGTTTAGTCAGCAGTTGTCTTGTCGTGCTGATTAAAATATTGGACACGGATTTCCTCTGCACAGTGGCTTTGTGTAACAATGATTACAGTCATCTGTGAGAAACAACCAGCCGTGGAAAAAAGTCTGTTGAGGGACATTTACAGAGTTATTTACAGATTCTGACATTGTTTTGTCTGAGCTTTCCAACGATTTCGACAGATTTCTTAAAAAATGTTGGCGGTCCTCAAGCTAGTTTTGTTTGAGAAATCAACAATAATTTTTGGACACCCTTTGTTCTTCTAGAAGTTTAGATTAGAATTACAGTCTAAATATTATTAGCAAAAGAATTTAGATTCAGCAAACAGTATGTTTGTAAGGTTGGGGGTGAGGGGCTACCTAGGCAACATATTATACAAAGTGTGTTTCTTCAGATGTGTTTCTGTCTCTGCATTGGTGGCGCGGCACATTGGGTCAGATAATTTGTAACAAGAGGAGAAAATATCTAAGATCAACAAGAAACAAAGATGAACCAGAAGATAAGAACAAGCAGATTCAAATAGCATTTGTAGCACAAAGCAGCTGTTACATGAACTTTAATTCATTCCCACATTCATAATTCAGACCTTTTGATAGCCAATCAGGACAGGCCGAGTAAATAGCCGTTGCCAATCAAACATACGGTGCTCATCTTTTGAATTTTGTACCTTCCAGGCAGTGGCTACAGCAAGAAAGGAAAAGAGCCGACCACAGAGCGAGATTTCTTTATGAGAATGAAATGCACAGTGACCAACAAGGGGCGCACGGTCAACCTCAAGTCGGCCAGCTGGAAGGTAAGAGTCTAGTACAAGGAAGTCTTTTATCCAGTGACAGGTGAGGGGTGCGGACAAGTTCAGTCAGATTTTGAAGTAGTTTGTCCGGTTAGGCCAGTGGTTATTTTCTGTCATACCCCCCCCTTCGGAACAGAAATGTTTTCATACCCTACACTCCCCCTCCCCCTCCAACCCACACCCCCGCGAATTGAAATACTATTGAGAACCTGATAACATTTATATTTTTATCCCTACAAACCACCGTATGAGTTGCTGCCACCTAGTGACTGGAGGCTTGTTAGGGAGGAATTACCTCAGTTCCTAGTGATCTTGCTATGTCGAACAGTATGTTGCAGTAGAGCTGGACCAATTACTTGACTTAAGACATGTAATGGTTCTCCTTTCCAGGTCCTTCACTGCACAGGACACCTGAGGATGTACAATGGGAGCTCTCCCAGAGTGATGTGCGGCTTCAAAGAGCCCACGCTCACCTGTGCAGTTCTGATGTGTGAACCTATTCCGCACCCATCAAATATTGACACACCATTGGACAGCAAGACCTTCCTAAGTAGACACAGCATGGACATGAAGTTCACCTATTGTGATGAGAGGTAAGATACGCAACCATCGTTGAAGAAATAAAATCCAATACAAACCAGAAGAACTACTATGTGAAGCATTTGATGACTTTGTCATTACATCCTGATTGTATAGGCTGCATAATATTGTCAACACTAAAACCACATTATGGATTAGGAAAGATGGATAAAACAATTAAAAGTTCAGGTAAAAAAACCTTTTTTCTGCCATCTAATAATTACCAAAGAACAGCCACTAGCATTGCAAATTCACTCTGCCGAAGTTTTTTTTTTGCCGAGTAAATATTCATCTGTGTTCCATTTAGTGGTTTAGGTATTTTGTTTCATGAGTACTTATTATATAATAGCACTTATAAAGTCATTATTATAATGAGGATAATGACTTTCATAATTATTATGAGAGCCAGCATTCAGTTAGTGCCCACCCTAGCAAGGGTGCTCAGTTTTTCCCCACACTTGCATCAGTCATATTGTTTATTTTACCTGCTTTAGATATTTACATGCACTCTTGAAAGATTATGTCATAGGGTAATAATATCCATTTCCTAAAATATGTATCTAAATTATTGCCAACATCTAACCCTGCCCCCAACTGCCCAGGCCTCCCCAGTGTTTGTAGCTTGCTGCTAACACCAAACCTTTTTTAAGCCATGCCACAAATTTTACATTAGAAAAATTCCACAGACACTACCCAAACACAAATGCCACAATAAGTATTTATTATATAATAAAATTTGTTGTTCTATTAGTTTCCACTGAATCACAATTGACTTACTCTGTGGGAAACCTGGTCCTGTTAACTTGAACACAGCTCCCAGAAATTGAAGAAACACGTGAAGATCTTCAATACTTCACTTTTAGTTTTTATAGTCATCTGCTGCCACCTAGTGGAAGGGTGTGCATTCGTTCTACCAGTTATTGTATGCAAATACCCACACAAACAGACATACACACACAACTGTGGTTGTGTTTTGTGAGGCCTTAATATAGACATAGAGCATTGGCCAAAGTAGGGCTAGCCACAACACCAAAAGAAAAATAAATAAAATAAGATTATAATTTTTTTTCTCATATTACCAGCATATAATACTCACTGAAACCCACAAATGATTTCCACCATTCACATAGTACAGATCTGTACTATTACCAGAGTTATGAAGAATAAAAAAAAAATAAAAATATGATCACCATTTATTTTTTAAACTGCTTAACCACATGCAAAAAATTAAATAAAAATAAAAATACAAGACGCAAAATTCTACATGCAGGGAATGAGCATTAACAAAACAATAGCATTCAGTACTTTGTATGAAACAGTTACCACGATCACATGTAGTAACCATTGTTGTGATACCTGTGTGTTCTGGGTGTACTCTGTCCTTGCCTGATGACTGCTGAACTTTGTGCCAATGACCCTGAAATGGATTTAGTAGATGATGAATGGATGAATGTTGTTAATCCCCGCACGATTTACAACATGAACCTAACTTTAAACACTGGCAAGAGGGGTAATACGAGGAAGGGTGTCCTTTGTACAATACAATCTGTCTCGAAACACTATGTCCTCTGATGAAAGGAAAAAACAAAATTCATACACAGCATTATGTATTTTGTTGTAAATATCCCATCCGTAAAAGTATAAAGGCCATAGGTTTAAACTGTTACTGTAACGGCATCATTAAAATCACTTAACTCAAAATGCAAGAGAACAAAATACTGTAGTTATACTATTTATATTGTCAATCTGCATTTCTCTCTCAGAGTTTTTTATGGAGAAGCAAAGATCGTATCACCAAAAAAAAAAATCACTGCTTACACTGAAATTACAGTGTTAGCAGAACACGTACACACGTACAATAAGAAAAGGACAAAAGCTGACCCTCCACAAAATTTAAGCCTGAGACATGTTCTAGCATTTTGAGTGTGATTTATTGTTGGACACAGACTTTTTGCATATAAATAATATATAAAAAGATAATTCCGTGTACACTCAGTTACTTTTACAGTACCCGTACCATGCTTTGTATGATATTTCAAAGGTACTTACTCTCTTTCTTTTTTTTTCTTATATAACAAACTACCCTTTGTAGTTATCCAGTTTGTTCTGGTTAGCTTTTTCTTAAACTAATTTGACAAAAGGCTTTTGTTAGTTGATGTTAATCCTTTTCCTCTTCCTGTAACTAAATCTACATGGTAAAATATCTTGTTGAATCGTGCAGAGCTGGACTTGAACAAAATGTAAAGATGATATTTAAGCCAGAACTGAACTGAAACCAAATTCTCTCATCAGCAAAATGAAGGCACCATGTGTGTAATAAAGAAAATGAAAGCATTCCAGGAAATTAGAGGGAAAGAACAGAGGGAATTAGGACTGTCTTCCAAGGGATTCTTGGAAGACAGTCACACTTCTCTGTTTAGTTTTCAAATTGCACGCAAAGTGGAGGAAAGGTTTAATGAGCATTGCATGCAATACGTGAAATCCCGAAAAAAAAGAGGCAATTTTGATTGATCGATTTGGTTGATTAATTGATTGAAGTGTTTATTTTGAATATGAAATATCAAAAATATACACTGAAAGAACATGGTACGAAACATTTAAACATAGGACTTAGAAATGCATATACAAAAAAAGAAGTGAGAAGAAGTATAACTTGTAAACTCCCGGACCTTTTCTTCAACTGATGAATAACAGTAAAAATCTTCTTTGCAATTATAGGTTTCCTTACTTGACCCATGTTTGTTTTGCAGGGTGAAAGATCTGATGGGCTACACTCCTGAGGACCTGCTGGGTCGTTCTGTCTACGACTTTTATCACGCCCTTGACTCTGACAGTGTCACCAAAAGCCACCACAACTGTAAGCACACACACACACACACAGAATATATTTCCCTATTTTCTGGACTATAAGTCGTCTCGGATTATAAATCGCACCATCCAAAAAATGCAAAATGAAGAGCAAAAAAAACATATAGAAGTGATCAGGTACAACCGCCTCGGGTGCCCTCTAGTGGCTGTCAGTGTGAAAATAACGAACATGTAAATATTCAGTGGTACATGGACTAGCAGATCCTGGTACACAAGTCTAGAGTGCCCTCTAGCCCCTAGCGGCTGTCAGTGTGAAAATAAAAAACGTGAAATTATGTATTTTAAAATATAAGTTGCACATGAGTATAAGTCGCAAAGCCAGCCAAAGGATGAAAAAAGTGCGACTTATAGTCCAGAAATGGTGCAAATGGTACAAATTCAAGGACAGTAACACAAACCTGGAAAAAAAGTACTGTGCACATTTATTTTATGCCCCTGACCAATCAAAATTGAATAAAATAAAAAGAGGAATCATATATGTTTTATATGTGTTTTAAGGTGTGTGTGTCCATGCGTGTGAGGCGCAGGAGACATAAATAGATTTTTATTAAATCAAGCTTAACCATTGAAGGTCTGTCGAGAGTTTAAAAACTGGACCAGGTGGCCTCTTTCACACATTTGTGTGTGTGCATGTGTGTATTCGTGCATGTGTGTCATGGTTTCTTTCTTCAATGACAATTTGTTTTCGTTAGCATCTTTGTATTCCTATATAAGAAAAAAAAAACATATGTGAGTTTTGTCAATAGGTTCATAGGTCATTTTCTACTTTACTATAAATCAGGGATGGCTCGATCCAATACTTAGGATTGGTGTCGTCCATTATCAGTCAAAATTGTCAGGATCGAACATTGAAAAAAACAACTCTAGCTCGTCCCGATCCAATACCTACGCCCTGTGTTCAACTTTGCTGCAAACAGGGACACTATCGCCTCAGCAACAACAGCCGGCAGCAAACTGGAAGAAAAAAGAAGGTATCAATTTGATATTAGTATCGGCAGATACTTCAAGTTTCAGTATCGCTGTCAGACATAAAAAGTTGTTTCAAGCCATTCTTACTATAAGCACTTCTATTTAACATGCATACCTCTTCATTGCTAAGAAAATGTATCAACCATGAAAGGGCTTTTTTTATGATGTCAAAATTCCAACTATTTAACCATACGCACTGAATGTGTAGTGTATGTGAAATATTTCAGCAGATACCCCGTCAACATGCTTAACCAATACCAAGAGTCCAAATCTGCTCTATGTATGAAAACAGATATGAGAAATTTGACGTAAATTTTTCAGTGACTCGCTAAGGCCTAAAAAAAAAACAAAAAACAAAAAAAAACAGAATTAAGTCAAAAGTCAACAACACAAAAAATTTTGTTTAGTTGATCAGGTCGTACTTAGCTAACTTTGGCAACGCACATGCATGTGTAACCTTCACCACAGCTCTGGTCCTTTCCCACGACATCAGTATTTTTTGTACTTCTGCGAGGAATTTTCCTCCTCCACTAAAAATCAAACCTCCAAGTTATCTGCCTGACGGCGCAGGTTGTTACAATTGCCAGTCTATATTATAGCTTACTTGTGTTTAATTAACTCGTGGTTACCACCAACCCAAATATCACTCTATCCTCAGTATGTTCCAAGGGGCAAGCAGTGAGTCGTCAGTACCGAATGCTCGCCAAGACTGGAGGCTACATCTGGGTGGAAACTCACGGAACCGTGATCTACAACAGTCGCAACTCCCAGCCCCAGTGCATTGTGTGCATTAACTATGTCCTCAGGTAAATCCGTCATCCATGCTACTGTTGTTTGTAAGCCACGCAGCGTAAAATAATGTAGATGTAAAATCAATAGCTCGTAGTAGGACTAAAAAAATCAGATCAGTACGTTGTGAGCTAGGACTTAATGCACGTTTTACTCTACTCTGATGACTTGTGACATGCTGTTTGTTTGTCTTTCTACAGCGACATTGAGGACAAGTCCACAATCTTCTCCCTGGAGCAGACAGAGTCTCTGTTTAAGCCGCAGCACATGAGCACCTTCTTCAATTCAGAAGGTGCAGGTGTGACAGAAGAGGCATCAGACGCCCTGTTCACCAAATTCAAAGAGGAGCCCGAGGACTTGGCCCAACTTGCCCCAACACCTGGGGACACGATCATCCCTCTTGACTTTGGTTTGTCACCTTCCTTTTACATACAGTGTATTGTAGTCAGTGTAAATCCTGCTGGATGTTTGTTGTTTGTTCACAGCTTTCGTTATTTTCCGGACTATAAGTAGCTCCGGAGTATAAGTCGCATCAGCCAAAAAATACATAATGAAGAAGAAAAAAACCATGCGTAAGTCGCTCCGGAGTATACATCGTACCAGCCAGCTAGAATGCCCTCTAGCGGCTGTCGGTGTGAAAATAACGAATTTGTAAATTTTCAGTTTTACAGGAGCAGCAGATACTGGTACACAAGCCTAGAGTGCCCTCTAGCGGCTGTCAGTTTGAAAATAACAAACATGGGAAATTATATATATTTTAGTATATATGTCGCAGCTTAGTAGGATGAAAAAAAGTGCAACTTATAGTCCGGAAAATACGGTACTAAAGAGTTCTGCTTGTTGTTTGTTTCTCTTCAGGTCATGCTCAGTTTGAGGCAACTCCTGCAGCTATGCCACCCCCAAGACCTCCATCCTGGGCAACTGATAGTCACAAGCCTGGACGTCTGGTTTCTGGCCAAGTGTCAGCTCTGGGTGCAGAAAATGTGACTAACATGGCCAGTATACTAACAATGCAGCAGAATACTGCACCAGGCATTGCCACACCAAGCCTCAGCAGCTGCTCTACAGTAAGTGCGATGTTCACATGAAAGATGTAATTATTAGATTATCAGTCCGAATCCATTTAGTTTAGTTTTTCTCACTCTCTTTTCTTCTGTTCTTGACGTTTCCGATTGTAGCCCTGCAGCCCAGCTGATTACTACAGCTCAGTGGAGAGTGACCCGAAGGTGGAGCTGACTGAGAAACTGTTTTCTCTGCGCAGAGAGGAGAACGACAGCCCTGCGAACACTGAGGTACTTCTTTTTCGCCCACACATTTTACTCTTACCCATGCGTTAGTATACAATACCCAAGTTTTGCATTGGTAGGCTGTCATACCTTCATGCCTTTCACTTAGTAGTAGAAATAAAAGGTTATCACATTTGGGGAGCATTTCCTTCATTTATTATTAAGTTAAATACAAAAATGCCAAATAAATTGAAAGTTTATCAGGTTGTCTGAGACTTCTTTTGACAACTTAAAATATGTTTCCGGAGATGTTGCCGAACACCTCTCTTTTCGAACGGTTCACGAACAAAATTCTTAACCAAAGATTGCCCTGTTGTTGTACCATAACTCAGTTGCCGAACTTGAGACAATACCATGCAAGCAGCAAGTGATCACTGAGTGACCCAGATATACACGCTTTTTGTTATTTCAATTGAGAACTCTGATAAAGATGGATGAAATTGTATTTATTCATTATTAAATGTTGTTTATCTTTTTTATTAGCTCTAATTCTTTTATTGGTTTTGTTTTTGAACCTGTACACAAAATACTGTTTATAGCCCCGCTACATCTAGGTTCTTTTCTGCCAAATATCAGTTTCAAGGTTTTTTGAGTTTTGTGATATGTTTTCCAGATGGATTTAAGTAACTTGGATTTGGAGACTTTGGCTCCTTACATCCCCATGGATGGAGAGGACTTCCAGCTAAATCCCATCATTTCAGAGTCCGAGTCCCTGGAGAGAAATCCAGTTGGATCTGTTGGGACTAACAACAGTAGCAACAGTAGCTCTCCAAAAACACACCAGCAGAGCTTTTGCAACATCACCAGCCTCTTCCAGCCCCTGCCTTCCTCTTCCCAGACCAATGTCCGCTACCAGCCTGGACATTCTGCATCCTGGGCAACAGGGGAAAAGAGCAACCACTCGACTGCAAACAACCACGTATCGTCATATACGATGGGTCCCATTCAGAATCCCCCGTATCAGGCCCCAGCCAGCACTCCTTTGTCCTCTATGGGTGGTAGGCAGAATCTGCAGTGGCCTCCAGACCCACTGTTAACCTACCCACAACAGCTACCAACCAGCAGGGCCTACCTGATAGACACTTTGTCAGGAGAGATGCGTACCTCCAGTGAACAGGACCTGACGAAAAACAAGCTGCCAAGGTGACGAAGTGTGAAATGAATCCACATCTCTAAGACTAATTTGAAATGATAAACCCAATGTAAATGTTTTGTTTATGGCCATGCAGGTCTGTTGACTTCTTACAAGGATACAGAGACATGAGTCCAGCCAGAGTGGCCATCAGCAACAATATGAAGCGCTCCTTCACCCAGATGGCTTTGGTAATTCTTTCTAATGAACCCCTTTTTTTTCAGTCAAATCCTACATTGTCCAGATGTTGTCTGGAGGGATTTCACTGTCTCTGGGAAAAAATGCTTCCTCTGTGTCCACACTGGGTTTCTTAAGTGTCAGATAATCTCCCAGGGATGATCCTTTGATTTGATTCGTCCTTACAATGTCTTGCTCCATTCACTATTTAGTAACCATGAAGATGATCAGGATCAAACAGAATATGGTCCGATAAATTGTACCGTTTTCACACTCAAACACTAACAATGGACACTCCCTTAGTAGTTAAAGCACAGCACAAACACTAATAATGGGAGACACTCCCTTAGTAGTTAAAGCACAGCGAATACACTTTTGTGTTCACACTGACTTTTAATGCAGATTCCTTGCGCACTCGACACCCGTTTTTGTTTACATGAAGAGGCAGATCGAGTGCACATTCATTTTGGGCGATCAGCACATTGAGAATTATCAAAATATCTAGGAATTTTGCGCTCAAATTAGTTAACACAGGATCGAAACCCCATTTCTGGAGGTGGATTACCGTATTATCTGGACTATAAGTCGCACTTTTTTTTCATCCTTTGGCTGGGTTTATGACTTATAATCAGATGTTACTTATATATTAAAATATTTAATTTCACATGTTTATTTTACACTGACCACTAGAGGGCACTCTAGGCTTGTGTACCAGTATCTACTGTACCGCTAAAGATTTACATGTTTGCTATTTTCATACTGACAGCCGCTAGAAGGCACTCTAGATGGCTGGCTGGTGCAAATGTATTTTTTTTTTTCTTCTTCTTTATGCATTTTTTGGCTGGTGCGAGTTACTCCGGAGCAACTTACAGTCCGGAAAATACAGTAGTTAATACGGGATCGAAATATATCTGTAGGTGCATTAGTTGAAGAGCAAGTGTGTAATGGTTTGCAGTGTGAAAGCAAATGAAGAGTGAAACTCGTGTTGCTGTGCGCATGAGGTATTATGTGCCAGTGTGAAAATGGCATAAATGTGGCTGATTGTAGACCAGAAGTACCATTCCTAATTTGTGGAATTCCCCCAAAATAATGAAACAATCTATGAAATTAGATAAACCGTTTGTTTAATATTGTTCAATTTGGATTAATTTGATTATTTGTCTGGGCTCCAGGGTGACAGTAAGACACCTGAGATGATGTGGAAGAAAATGAGGAGTGAAAGCGGTCAAACCATGGATCGGTCCCTCAGCGCTGGATCATTGGCAGGTAGTTATACTTACAAGTACTCCATTTTGTTTCAATACAAACCTCTTCTTTACAAGGCATCATTGTTATCTTATCTGTAACTTTGTTTCAGAGCTAGGAATGGGCAGAACCTTGCCCGGCAACATGCCTTCATGTTTCATGCTCCAGCATAGGAAGTCTCAGTACACAGGCAATGGAATAGCTGGCCGAAGCGGTCATTTTTTTCCTTCAGAGAACTGCAACTACAGCAGTTATAACCTGCTGCCACCTCGAAAGATGGAGGGTGAGTTGCACGGCCTGTGAAACTTGTAGTTGGCCAACGTAGCTTCTTAAACTGATGCTACTACCGTATTCCAGGGAAATAAAGCCGAGGCCTATATTCTAATTTTACAAACCATCTGAACAGACAAACCCTAATCTGGCTTGTATTCTGGTTTGACCTATGTATAATTCAGTGGTTCTAGTGTTTCCCGAACTTTTTTTCTGGGGACCCATAGTTTAAAAGTCACAGAACTTTGCGACCCAAGTCAATAGACATTATTCGTAAACTCCTGGGAAACATGATGCGAGTGGACCAAAAAATAACTCTTGCGACCCACCTGAGAGTTACGACCCAGTCATAGGAAACAATGTTCTAAATGATTTTCTGTCATGCCCCAAACCCCCCGCTCCCCCGGATTTAAATACTATTGAGATTCTAATAATACGTATATTCTTATCTGTACAAACAACTTTATGAGTTGTTGCCACCTAGTGACTAAACGTGAATAAACTGTAATAGTAGAAGTAAATCAACAAACCTATAAATTCACAAAACTTTGAATTTTTAAGCAGTAACAAACAGTCAACTGCTCTACGGATTCTTCAGAACTTGACTTGATTAAAATTGCTTTTTAAATATTCTTGTTTAAAATAATTCTTTGCTCCAAAAAAAGCAACATCAGTTTTTTTTGTAGCTCACTTATAAATTGTTGTGATTTTTCCAGGTATAGCTAGCCGTTTGTTTGGCGCTTCTTTCGAGCCCTCCTGTCTGCCTGAGTTGACCCGATACGACTGTGAAGTCAATGTCCCTCTGCAGGGAAACCTGCACCTCCTCCAGGGCTGTGACCTGCTGCGAGCTCTGGACCAGGCCACCTAAAGGCACACAATCAAACTACACCACAGACCAAGAATTAATCCCAGCCCAGAACTTTAACTTTTTTCAGAAAAGCAGTTTGTAACCTTCAGACCTTCACTAAGCCCTCTGAAGGGAATGGTATTTAAACTCACATCTGCCTTATTTAGCTTAAAGGACTCACTCTCTCCTGTACTTTGGTATTATACCCTTTCTTTGACCCATACCCCCACGAATTGAAATACTATTGAGAACCAGATAACATGTATATTTTTATCTTTACAAACCACTGTATGAGTTGCTGCCACCTAGTGACTGGAGGCCTGTTTATTATTCAAGCGAAATACTGTATTACAGTATGACTGCCCCCAACTTGATCAACAAAGTAGGGCAGTTCAACACAGCTTCAGGGAGTCCTTTGAAAAGAACTGTGGAACTACATGTGAACATGAAGTACCTAGGTGTACTTACTCATGGCTCTGGTTACATTGACAGGTTTTCTTTTCTCAGTGACACCTGGCTGAAGCCATGATTTTTAAAACAGAAAGACAGGGGGCACAACTAGCGTCATTACTTGCTCCACTCAACTGCCACCAAACTTTTAGCTTTTTTTTTGTCATCGTTTGTCCTAAGACAAACGATGACAAAAATCAAAGGCATTCTCTTTTTTTCCACCTTTTGTGGATAACCACACAAAATTAGTTATCAGTGGCGTTCGTTGACGCACAGCTTGAATATGACTAACGCATACACGGCCGAACAACATTACATTACATGTATTACAGGTTCAGTTTTAAAGACTTGCAACCGCTTTTATTGTTACAGCCAGTCTGCTTCGGAATGACTGTCATGAACGTTTTCACACTTACTACGAGGACACCATAACATATCACTACTGTTCTGTTCACCCCAACCCACCCTCCCCCACCCCATTTCTTTTTACCTACAGAGTATTTTATTGTGTTTCAAGCTGAGCGACATACTAATGACCATATATTGCAATATATATGTACTCCATTATAAGTTGAGCATTTTTCATAGATTTACAGGATAAAGTTGTGTCTCTATTATTACTTGTTATGTAAGTAGATCAGGTGACTACAGGGTTTATGTTCCTATTGTGCAATTACTTTATTGAAATTAAGCTTATATTTATACATATTGATTTATACTGATATATCTATATATATAAATACATATACACATATACCTTATATGCAGTCAGTAGCAAAGCTAAAGCCTTACTTACCAAATTGATCATATGTTTCAGTAACATGGCCTACCACACACACACACACACACGCACACACACATTTGCCACACACACTAATCTGCTCACATTGAATGTTTTTCTCTTCCAGTATTTAGTTTCATTAGGGTTGTCTTTCCTTTTTTTTTTTTTTTTTTTTTTACAAGTTACCATTGGTTTCTATTCATTTCTGTGTCAAGTGAGAATTATTTATCAGCCTTTTTGAAAAAAAAAAGGTAAATGACGAGTCACCATTTACTGTATGTGTCAAAGTGAACTCTTCTGTGCGAGTATTAAAGGCATTTATTGCATGTCGTAGTTGGTAAATATTTTTAACGTGTTTTGGGGGTCTCATAGGTAGAAATGTTCATTTTTATTCGGGGAGTGGGTTGGAAAGATGCCGGTGACTGTTAGACGGACGGGATTTCTGAGGGAGGAGGGGTGAGGGTGGAAGTTCTGGCTTCTTCATTGTTAAATGGAAAGTAGTTGGCTTTTTTATTTTTTTCTTCTCTTTCTATGACTTTATGATTTACTTTTTATCTTGTATTATACCTTATCTGCTCAGATTGGCTTCAAATGCCCCTGTGACCCCCGTGACAGCTGTAGAAGTGACTGGGAAACTGATATAAGACAGTATATATATATATATATATATACACACACATATATATATATATATATATATGTGTGTGTATATATATATATATATATATACACACACATATATATATATATATATATATGTGTGTGTATATATATATATATATATATACACACACATATATATATATATATATATAAGTATATATATGCTGGTTTTTGGCCTGCGGGCTGTATGTTTGACATCCCTAGCCTAAAGTAAAAACATATTCTTGCCATGTCTTCTATTTCCCTCTTGTGTTTTTATTTTTTTATATTTTTGTTTTTTGGACAGTCTTTGTGTGCTGACCACTTTTTGAGTATGAGTTTTCGACTTTGAACACCATATTATTTAAAAAAAAAAAAAAAAAAACAAGCTAAAAGTAATGTTGGAGATAGTGTTTCTGTTGTGTTTCTGTGCTGGTACTTTGTCCCCATCAAAAGTCTGTAGGTGCAGATCCCTCGTAGTGCTGTTTTCTCCTGTGCTGTGTCCAATTCTGTTCTGTTGGGTGGCCAGTACTGTTTCTTTCTCTAAAAAAGAGAAAAAAACTCTTAGTTAAAGGCAAATCATCGTTATACTTTAACTTTCCAGATATGTAGCATTTTCAGTAATGTAAAGAGTTTGTCTTTGCAGTAAATATCACTTCTCCAGGCACATATAAAGACATGACTAACACTGTATTCTTTTATTTTAATGCTGAAATGTTCTTTAAAGTAATCCGTAGAATGTGCCTTATTATAAACTCTCATAAGATACAATTAAATTTACCCTTTCTTAAACCATCTTAATGTGTTGGTATTTTTGAGGATTATCCTACCTTACATTGCACTTTATATAAAAAAAAACAAATGTGTAAAAGACCTTTTTTTCCTCTTTATTTTTGTTGTTTTTCTTAGATGAAACCTTGCTATTACTAAAAACAATACTCAGGTAGAAAAACAGATAGCTATGTAGTTGTACTACAACAATCAAATGTGTTTTTTCCCTGTTTTAACTCATACAGCTGATTTTTCTTTCTTTGCTTTTTTTTTTTCTTTTTTTTTCATTTGCAATTGCAGCACAACATGCTCTGCATTGTGTTGATATGGATGTGCAACCAAATCACTGTCATTTATTTCTAATATGATGCCAAAAAATCTGAAACACACTCATATAAGTATCACTTCAAATTAAACTTTTGTATGTCCAATAATTAAAGTGATTTCCATCACATGGTGAAAACTGAGGTCACATGTATATATTCCCATGCAAATACTTCATGTAATCAAAATGAGTAAATGATTTGCATCTCATAGCATGAAGCAAATATAACATATTGTACAGATAATCCCAGTAAGTGACGAGTAAATATTTGTCTCATGGTTTTAGAGGAAATATATTTACAGTTTGTGCCTTATTTTTGATTTATTTTGTATAAAAAAAAACGAGGAGTGTCAGAGAGTTGACCATTTTCAAGGTGCAGTTTAAACCAGTGGTTCTCGACTGGTCTAGCCTGGACCCAAAGGACAACACGAGGGTTAAGAGTTTTTCTGTTTCTAAATGCCGCATCAGTTTTGATCACGTTATACTTTCACATGCCAGAACCTCACTGAGCAAGACGCACCTAAATATAAGTAAATACATATTTCATATACTCTTATATATTCGTATAGTCTCGGCGTTAGCATATGTAAAAATATTTCTCGTCTTCGTGTGTCTTATTATAAATTGTGAAATGGCTCGTAAAATCTCTGGGTTTTATCACCATCTGTTACGAGTAAGGCACCAAATTTCGATTGAAACATTTTACTGCCACCCATTGATAGCTAACCCAGTTTGGGTCGAAACCAACCAGTTGAGAATCACTGGTTTTAAAATACATATAAATACATTTTATATATAT